AAATTATGAAACTATGAGACATTTATTATGATAATTTGTACATGTATGTAGCAAGAAGAGGAAGTAAAGATTGTGTATGACGCAAAAACCCAGTCAACTTTGCTTTCAGAGGTTCATAATAAGCTATTTTAGCCGAGGGGGACGACACATTTAAATCTTAATTCTAGATGCTCAACAAAGTTTACACTAGCAAATCAATATTCGAAAAATCTTCTTTCATTTCTCGCATCTACTTGCATTGCGCATTATCTTTTTGCAGGAAATCTTCAGAATCGTCATCAATCTTTTTTCTATCTACTCAGCCAAGTAACCACATCAAAATACAATTTTGCCTGCATCGTATATAGAGTCGCCCCTCTCGGTTTTTGCTGTAATGAGTCGTCATGAGTGAGTACTATAGACGAGTGCACGGGTGAACTTTTGTTCATAAAATGACACAACAGCGGGCCCTGTTTACTAAAAATGAACAAATGAATAATGCTCGCGTAACATTTGAAAAGGGACTATCAAGTTTTGGAAACAATTTGCTAGGTCCTTTTCACGAGAACCGAAGTACGCCCACGCAAACTAAGAACACTATCCGGAAGGGGAGAATTTCACCTACCTGATGGTGTTGTTAGTTTGCGTGAGCGTATTCGGTTCGTGCGAAAAGGGCTTAACAAGTTTTGTGTACAAAAGTTAATAGACCCGTTTCAAATGTTACGCGAGTATTATTCATGTGTTCATTTTTAGTAAACAGGGCCCCGCTGTTGTGTCGAATGAGTGAACTCAAATCCATCCGTGCACTCGTCTATTCGTTACAGCTTATCGCTAATTGTGATACTCTGGAAGCGAAATTGACAGGTTTTACATGTCATACACAATATTTACCTCCTCTTCTTGCATACAAATTATTATTATAATATCTCATAGTTTCATACTTTCGAAAAGTCGTATCTTAGCTGTAATGAGTATATTCAGGCCTGCTTGGTGGCCTTTTAAAAGAAATCATGCAGAATAGATAAAAATGGCAGTAAAGGGTTAAGGCACGATTTTAATAAGCCAGGAGCGGTGAGTTATTGTTTTTATCTAGTTCGTTTCCAGGATCAATCGCGTTAGCATTACGGAGCCGATAATTCTTTGTTCATTATTTGTAACAAAATTCACTTAATTCTATGTCCAGTAGGGGAGTTCGACCGAATACTCGCTGTTTACCGGAGGTTAGAGGGGTACATTGTCGAAGGGTAGGATCAGTGGAGACAGCTCTCAATTAATAACTGTGGAAATGCCTCAAAGAACACTAAGTTGAAAGTGGGCTCGTATAAAAGCGTCAAAGTCAGGAAGAAGAAAAACTACGTACTAATCAAACGTTTTTCAAAGGCTTAGAGAGCATTTCTCGAAAAAGGTACATTTATGTACAATTATTTCGCCTGAATTCAGCTGATCAAATTCCAAATTCGAATTGCAATCCACCTCAGAGCAGAAAAAAGATAAAAGTAAAATTGCAACTTCACTCAGTTAGCCGGCGCCGGTGGTGTAATGGTAAGCGTGACTGCTTTCTAACACCCCGAATGGGTCTGGGTTCAATCCCAGCCGAGGTCGGTGGGATTTTTCTGAGGCATAAAAATCTCTGGTCACGTCTTCCTTCGGAAGGGAAGTAAAGCCGTTGGTCCCGGCCCATGTATGTTGAATGGGTGCGATATTAGGCTGATGCAAAATTTAACTTTTTCGCTCCACAGTGCTTAAATGGTTTCAAATTGGGTCCTGATTAGCCTCCCAAAGTTACAACTCATTTGGTTAGAAACAGACTTCGCACAAGCCATTTGAAATTTACATGTAAATTACTATGGGAAATCTCAACTTTTTGTTCATTGCCTTCTAGTCTTTTTCCTTATTGAGCTGCGAAACAGTTCGATAGCCATTCTGATAGAAAATTTTATCAGCTACAATTTTGCTGAAGATCGTTTCTATGTAAAACAAGATAGGAAAAAGTTATTAATTATTTAAGAGATTGGTAAACTTATTACATGATCAAGCAGCTGCTCTGTAGGCAACACTGTATTTTGCAGTGTGACATAGTAGCCATGATTTTTGTGTCCTATTCAACGCCCCAGAAACACCAATGTTGCCTGCTGAGCAGTTGATTGAGCATGATCATAAGACAACAGCGCATTGAACCAATGATAACTTTCGATCATTGCATTTAATCAAAAAGTGGTCTTCAACAAAGTTGTAGCTGGGAAAATTTCCTACCAGTACAGTTGAAAACTTTTGAAGCAGATTGATATGGTGAATTATTAGATAGACATGAACAAAAATCTTGGTTTTACCATAGTCATTCCCATACAAACTTCAAATAGTTTGTGCCATCTCAGTTTCTCACCAAATGGGTTCAAATTTTGAGAGCTTAGTCAGGATCCGATTTGGAATCGTTTAAGTATTGTGGAGCGAAAATTTTCAAATTTTGCATCACTCTAGTGCGATATCCTACGCAGGTGTGGAAGCTGCCTTCCTACACATTCGATTGCCGTCAATGGATGGCAATCGATGTCCGTCGGTGATTGGCACTAGATTGCGGAACAGAGACCGACGTTAAATAAAGGAAAGGAACTTCACTCAGTTTTCAATACCATGCGCTCTTCTCCGCTTTGCTTCGACTTTCCTCTTTAAAACTGAGGACGGCTGTTCGGATGGCCTCTTCAATGTGCAAAAAACTGAGGAAACCACATGTTCTACCTCTTTGACACTTTTTGGTTTGATTGAATCCGTTGATGGTTTTTATCGCAGTGTTCCAAGCATCGCTGGACTAACTGGTAAGGTACGCGTCTTTGGTTCGCATAGTCCATGGTTTGAATCGCGGTTGTAACCTCATATTTTTTTTTTTTTTTTGCTACTTGTCTACATCATTCGCAATTTAAAGAGAACATTGATAAGATGAAGGTAACTTTTATCTAAGCGCATCACTCTTTCTCCGTTTCTCGTTTTGTGTTTGACTCAATGTGAATGTGTTTTCATAAAGCTGTGCAATCGTTCTCCTCAATGTGATAAGCTGTAAATTTTGCTCTATGTGCTCAATGTGCTAGGAAATAACAAGCCTGGGAACGGCAAATGGGTGGAGGGAATTCATTGAAATTTTCGTAGTCCTACATCACGACCGTTGTTGTGTTCCTAGATACAACACCTTTATTTTGTTTCGTATAGGGTAAGTGCACCTGTTTTGTCCATAGTTCATCGTCTGATCAGTTGCATTAACTTTTGTTTTTCCTCGCACAGCTGAAAATCTTTCTTCGGCAGTCCCAGAGCATATCGCGCTCAATTTAAAACATCAAACCAAGGTCCACCGGGATGGTGTGGTGTACCCAGAATCCACAATTTCTCCCACAAACCGCTTCAAGAAGACACTCCATAAAAAGATGCCCCGTGCAGCTATTGGACTTCCAGTCTCTTTTTGCACAGTGCAGTGTAAATATATTTTATGTATTTTCTTCTCGCCATTCTCGTCGCCAGTACATCCCATCGTACCGTGCCGATCGTGAAACTGGTTTCCCCGCTGCACCCTTTGCTACCATCATACCTCCAAAACGAATTGCAAACCAAAGGCGCAACGAATTCAGTTCAGTTTTAACGTTCAATAAGGTGCGTTTTTTTGTTGTTCGACTTGTATCGATTCCTGAATTTTCCTTTTACGCAATCCGGACCGTGCACTTCATGACCATTTGTGGGAGGTGGTCGATCAATGCTCGGTCCGTCTTGTTTCTTCTCCACCTCGACGACGAATAGGTGCTGTGTGTGATTAGCAAAACCTTTCACTAACGGAGAGACTTGAAGATTCAAATATGTCTTGTGCTCGAGGTCTTCAAATGTACATGTGTCTGGATGCCTTCTGCTGTGCGGTTTTATTCCACATAGCATATCAAACCTTGCCCCTGCCATATAAATGCATAGAATTTCGATCGATTTCTGCTCGAACCATCGTTCAAACCTAATCATCAAACGCAATTAGTCTGTTAATTTTCCGATTTAATTAACATTTGTTCGCATGATGGAATGGTTTGGTATCGACGCAAATTTCCACTACTTGGCAAGCGCAGTGTTGTTGGGGGAGCGCTATATGCGCTCGGAGTACTCCCATCGTTTCTGCCTGATCAGTTTGTATATTGTAGAGGCTTGCGAAACGTTTAGACTGTGTGTATGAGTGAGATTTTGGAGGACAGGCCCTGCTGAATCACTCCGTAGCTGAGTTAGGGCAGATAATCTATGCATTTCGCGTTACACATAAATATTTGTAGTAACATTTCCCGCAGTGCCGATTTCAAACAAAAGCCGAAGAGCTCGTTGATTCATAAACATGACAGTGACTCAATTTCCTTCCAAACAATAACAGCTGATAACTGACGCTTCTGTTCGGCCAGATTTAGCATTCAATAGTATCGTGACTGGTGGCAGAACAATCATCGGTCGGATCAGACCCGGTGGGATAATCGGATTTTGTTTTCTTAAATCTAATGCTCGTCAATTTCCTGAAAATCATTACTAAAACGCGCTAGCCTCTACACTGAACAATCAAAGATAATTCTCCAAACATCTAATCACTACAAATAGATGTGAAAGATAAACTTCGTTCTTCTTTCACAACTAAAATGATGAACCAGTATTTCCTATGATGTTGCAAATCATTAAATTTTCTGTTTCTAAATTCTTGAGTAACTGTTCCGTACACACTAGACGATTAGTCCACCGAACGTCCAAATGGATTAAAGGCGTTCTTCGATAAGGCTCCTTCTGCCTTCACTCGGTTCGTGTACGGTTCGGCTTTTGTTTTCAAACCACTTCGGCTAATACACGGCAACCGCAGTCGAGTGCGCTTCATTCACACATTTCGCTTCACAAACTCGTTTGCAATCAGGCTCCCCATTCTCTCCATTTTCCCTCCTGCAATCTGGGGCCCCGATGTCGATCTATAATGTATTATATCCAGTCTTCTTTTGTTGTGGCCCGTGCTGCTATTTCTAGTTGCTTACCTTGACTGCTGTAACACGCTGTAAACATTAGCGAAAATACCATTCCACATATGATTAGATTCCGCTGCCTGCTTCTAGCGCCGCCAACCCTTCTTCCCGGCCACCAAGGGCCTGCTGCGGGTTGCTCTCCTGACATTTTCATCAATTTCATTTTCACTTTTGATTCTTCCCTCTAGGCCAAAGCCAAGAAAACATTCGAATTTTGCTCAAAAACAAACTTCTTTATTCGTTGCCTCGCCCACTGCTCTTTCTCTTCACTTCGATCGGCTGGCCCAACGACGCAGGAAAACACGAATACACCACTCCACTGCCATTCGGCAAAACTACAATATTTTATCGCTTCACTCCATTCCGGCACTTGCCTCAATCTCCGTCGATCAATATCACACTCCGGCAGTAGAATTTTAATTCACAATTCTGCAAATTTCAAACTTTCCGCAAGTCGATATTCCCGTCCCGATTCGTTTCAAAATTCAACACCCTTGCCCCATCTTTTTCACTCGGCCTCCTCGTACTCAAATCACTATCGAGAAAAAAAAACCTTCGCCGCCAGTTGTTACGATACTACTATTCTCCTTGTATCCTCATCCGATGAACCCGCGACGGTTTCTAATTCCACCAACCAGAATAGGACACTCTACTCTCACACTCTCTACGCGTTACGCGACAACCGAATACGACAACGAAGGCAACAGCATCCTACTCCCGAGCCGGCCATATTGCGAATGAATGGAACCAGACGAAACAGCACAACTACAACCGAGGCACGACGACGACGGAGCCGCATATTCTTTCATTCTTTTTTTTTGTATGCAAGACGCCGTCGTAAACGTAAATGAATACAACGAAGAAGAGTGAGACGCCTATGAAAAAGAAGAAGCTCTATGTCAAACCTCTGACAACAGGCAGGGCTGCAACATTTTATACCAATTGTGCAAACGTCATTTTGTGACGAAGTGGCATAAATGTTGCCATAACATTGAGAGCAAGTTTATGGCAAACTAAACCCATTGACGCCCATTGTTGCGGATAAAGAGACTATTCCGAGAAGGGACACTCTATCTAAAATGCAGGGAAGAGTTAGTTTTGGTGTCATGAGATGAGTACACGAAACGAAAATCAATTATTTAATTCATGTGTTTCACTTATACATTTTTGCCAAAGCATCAGCCTTATACATTCCATAAGACAAACCACATACGTCCTATTAGAATGCATAAAAGGTATGTGTGACCGCTTATACATTTCATTTGACACATGATCTTTATTAACTTTTTGCAAGGCGTCTGCTTATTAGTTGACTTATACATTTTATGAATAATCAGCAATGGAAATTTGCCAAAAGGTATAAGGAGATTTCTATCCGTGTAGATAGAACGAAGTTTGATGAAGATTTTGTAGATTTCCTCGAGGGGGCGACTCTATCTACGATGAAGGAAAAATTGTTTTTTGCTGTGGTAAGCTGCGCGCACGCTGAGTAGATAGTATGAAAATTTATGACGATTCTGAAGATTTCTTGCAAAAAGATGATGCACGATGCAAGTAGATAGACAGGGTTGCTCCCACTCACTTGCTATAAAAACATATTTTTCGGAATTATGCAATCATTAGATGATATAATGATATACTGTACTTGTTAGTAACGAGAAGAGGACGTGAAGTATGTGTTTGACTCATAAAACCTGTCAATTTTGCTTTCCGAGCGTCACAATAAGCGAGCGTTCACTCAGAGTGAGCACTCACGAGTCGTAAAATTGCTGATTGCGACGCACTGAAAGCAATATTGACAATTTTATGTGTCAAACACATACTTCACGTTCTTATCTTGTAACTTACAAGTACTAATTATCACTATACCATCTCATGATTTCATAATTCTGAAAACCGTTTTTTTTTATAGCAAGTGAGTGGAAGTAACCCTGAGTAGATGCGAGAAATTAAAGAAGATTTTTCGAAGATTGATTAGCTAGTGTGGTTGAGCACCTAGAATTCAGTGCTAACATTTGAAAACGGCACAAAAGCCATTTGTAAACAAATGGTTTGTGGGCCCTTTACTCACTACTTGAAGTACACCCACGCGACACAACAGCAACATCGGGTAGGGGAAATTTTCCCCTTCCTGACGATGCTGTTGGTTTGCGTGGGCGTTCTTCGGGTAGCGAGTAAAGGGCCCACAAACCATTTGTTTACAAATGGCTTTTGTGCCGTTTTCAAATGTTAGCACTGAATTGAGATTTAGATGTGTCGTCCCCCTCGGATTTCCTGCACAAAGGTACACACCCATTTTTTATTGCTGAAAACCAGCAATATTTTGCTGGATTTTGCCAAGCTGCAAGTTCACACTGAGAAAATTGCTCATATTTAATGTATGTGCCACACACATAAATTTTTGCAAGACACATAATTAGATTCATTCGCCATTCAATAAGTTTTATGTGTGGTCACACATGAACATTAAGCTAGAGACAAATGAATTTAATCTACCAATTTTTATTGTTATCAAGTATCGGAATATAATAAAACAGATTTACTATACAGTTCACCGATGCAGAATCATTTAATAAACACCACGAAATTGTAATGCAATGCACTCGTGCTCTTTGAAGCGGATGTTTTCGTGTCCAGAAACAACCGGTCCCTCCATAATTTTTTTTATAATTACTTTATTTGTACAGGCTCAATCGAATAAACTTTACAGAGCCGAGCTATCCTTTCCGTTATACATTATTACTGTCTTATATTTAAAGTTAAAGGAACTGAACCGAGTACTCACGGTTGTCTCGAGGTTAATGGAGATTTACATTTTTTGGATGGGAAAAGGGAAGAAGGAGGTTTGAAATGTGGTTTACGATACAACTATTTAATTATTCCTAAAGCATGAAATTATTTCTATTCATCTTGAAAACAAACATTGAAAAGAAACCCACACGTACAAAATACAAACTAAACACAAGGTTAATCAAACTTACAATCTAAGGTTAATATCCTTAAAGTAAACATATATGAGTTTCATAAACTCCAGATCGCGTCTAGCCAAAATATCCCGAACTGGAACATTAGGTTGTCTACCTCGAGCCCGAAGGGAATCATAAAAATGTGATCTGACTCCACGATACTCCGCACAAGACCAAAGGATGTGATCAGCGTCCTAATAACCTTGTCCACATTCACAGAGATTGCTGTCTCCCAACCCCACACGGAACAAGTGAGCGTTTAGACAATAGTGATTGGACATGAGACGAGACATCACGCGTATGAAGTCTCGACCCAAGTCCAACCCTTTGAACCATGCAAAGTTCGACACCTTATTGATAATTGAATGTAGCCATCGTCCCAAGCTCCCTTCACTCCATTGATGTTGCCAGCTAACAAGCGACTGCTGACGATAAATAGAGAAAAATTAACTATAGGCGATTTGTCGATCATAAATGTCGCCTTCCATAGCACCCACCTTCGCAAGTGAATCCGCCTTCTCATTGCCCAAAATTGAGCAATGCGAAGGGACCCACGCGAAGGTTATGATGAAAGAGCGCACGGATAAAGCACTAAGCAGCTCTGGTATTTTCAAGAGAAAATACGAGAAGTGCCTTACCGGCCTAACGAAACGGATAGCCTCAATAGAACTGAGACTATCCGTAAAAATAAAGTAGTGGGCTGGAATAAGAGAAGCAATATTTCTTGAAGGGCTGACATCCTGTGTTAAATATAAATAGTACAAAGTCATAAAACAGGATTTAGCTCCAGAAGCTTCTCAAAGTTTTCGATCACCAGTGGGTTCATTACTTCGCAACGGGTGAGGAGCCTCAGAACTCTGAAAAACGGACGGATAGTGGCAACACGCCCGCCAGCACTTCGAGACTCATAGTACGAGTCGAGTGCATGCATCCTAACGCGATACGAAGACAACGATACTGGATCCGTTCCAGCTTGATGATGTGGGTTTTAGCTGCCGACTGGAAACAAAAACTACCATATTCTAGAACCGATAAAATCGTTGTCCGGTACAACGTCAGAAGATCTTGTGGATGGGCTCCCCACAACGTTCCGGTAATTGATCGAAGGAAATTGATCCTTGGTTGGCATTTTCGTCTCAGATACTCAATGTGGGATCTCCAGGTGCATTTGGAATCGAACTAGACCCCGTGATATTTGAAAGACATAGAATGAGTGATCGGTTTACCCAAAAGTTGAAGCTTCGGTTGTGCTGGGCTATGCTTCCTAGAAAAAACGACCAACTCAGTTTTCTCCGTGGAGAATTCGATACCTAGCTGAATAGCCCAAGTAGACAAATTGTCCAAGGTATCCTGTAAGGGTCCTTGCAGGTCAACCTCTTTTGGCCCTGTGATAGACACTACGCCGTCATCTGCAAGTTGTCTCAACGTGCAATTGTCACTTGGATAATCATCAATTTCTCTAACGTAGAAATTGTACAAAAGGGGGCTTAAACATGAGCCTTGGGGGAGACCCATGTAGCTAAATCGAAAAGCTGTAGAGTTTCCATGAGAAAAGCTCATATGTTTTTTTTGACAGTAAATTGTACAAAAAATTATTCATTAATGGAGACAATCCACAAGTGTGGAGTTTCTCTGAAAGAACTTCAACAGCCCCCTTGATATCCAAGAACACAGAAGCCATTTGCTCTTTCTTAGCAAAAGCTAACTGAATTTCCGAGGAAAGCAACACGAGACAGTCGTTCGTTCCCTTACCCCTACGGAAACCAAATTGAGTATCTGAAAGAAGGTGGTTCCATCAATTTCCGAATACACGACAGCAACTCGCGATGGGCCGATACGAATTGTGATCCGACGCGGGTTTATCAGGCTTTTTAATGGCTATCACCCTCACTCGTCTCCAATCGTCGGGAACAATATTGAGCTCCAAGAACTGATTGTACAAGTTCAACATGCGCCTCTTAGCGACGTCTGGGAGGTTTTTCAGCAAGTTGAACTTGATTCTATCAGATCCCGGGGCAGAATTGCCACACGAAAGGAGAGCGAGTGAAAGTTCGACCATTGAAAAAGGGTGACTGATTTCGTCTACCGAATTCGCGGTTTCGCGAGGAATCAACTGCGACGGCACGGAATCCGGACACACTTTTCGCGCGAATTTAAGAATCCATTGATCCGAGTATTCCTCGCTTTCGTTGTTAGTAGACCGGTTACGCATTCTTCGCGCCGTACTCCAAAGCGTATTCATAGACGTTTGGCGCGACAATCCGTCTACAAACTGCCGCCAGTAACCCCGTGTTTTGGCCTTGATGAGGCTCTTGAGTTCGCGTTCAAGAGATGTGTATGCGTTGAAATGCTCGCGTGTTCCGCGTTTCCGAAAAAGTTTAAACGCGTTGGACTTTTTACGGTAAACCTCCGTGCATTGTTGATCCCACCAGAGCGATGGTGTTTTCTTACGAATTGACGATCGCGGCACCGGTCGTGTTTGAGCTTGAAGTGCGTTGTCGACGATGAGATTTGAGAGGAAGTTATATTCCTCCAACGGCGGAAGCTCTTCCACTGACGATACTGTATCGTCTATCGCGGATTGGAACTTAGTCCAATCGATGTTACGGGTTAGATCATACGCGACGTTAACGGATTCTGACGAGTTGAACCCACTGGCAATCGAAATTTTGATCGGCAAATGATCACTACCGTGCGGATCCTGAATTACATGCCAAGTGCAATCCAACGATAGTGAATTGGAGCAAAAGGTGAGGTCTAATCTGCTACCATTCGAGGATGGACCAGCCAAACGTGTTACTTCTCCATTGTTAAGGATTGTCATGT